CTACTTTTACGACGTCATTGTTCGTACGTCTGTTGAATATTTACAATGGCTATTATTATGACTTATTGAGTAATTTATTTGATACCTACGCATCTAGAATGTTTTGTTGGTAAAAGTCTTTATTGTTTTTTTTTTGTTATTTATTTCATGATTCACTTTTTAGAATTATTTTACTTAAAAGTAGTGTTGTAACGTTGTTCTTACAATTGACGTCTTTTATGATAAAAAAATTTAAAAAATATAAGTGACCAAAATTTTATAAATTCAACTAAAGACAGTAATCCAATCTAACATAGCAGGCATGAGCTTAATGTGTATGTACTTACATTTAAACAAAGGAATTATTGCGACATCATTTCAACAAATACTGCATTCTATGACACCGAAACAATGAACATTTGTTCTACGTCTTTTTTGCATTTTGTAGGTTTTTATGATATTAGGACAACTTAACTGTTCATTTAAATTTATTCCACCTTTTTCCACTACCCAATAAACTAACACATTAAACACTTCTTTGTTTAAAATTATATTGTGGTCTTCATATATAGCGTGATAAAGAACTACAATGTGTTTTTATAACATGCTTCTAATTAATTAAAAATTATAACTCCTACAAATCTATTTGAACAATTATTTTTATTTCTTTGAAATCAAAAGACAAAATAATACAATTATTTATATATATGTATATAAACCTAGCACGTTTTTCTCAATATGACGTAAGTATTTCTGTATTTATCATTTTGTTGTTAATAGTATATTAACAGTGGGAAACATATAAATCTATATATATATATAAAATAAGAATGTATGTTTGTAATATTGAAATAACCGTTTTTTTACATACATATGAATATAAATACGGTACATACACCAAAATAACATTTTTTACAATTTTTGTCTGTCTGTCTGTTCTGGCTAATCTCTGAAATAGCAGGACCGATTTTTTTTAGCAACCTAGGCCTAACCTAGGGTTAATTTCTTTTAGAAAAATCAAGTTAAATTCCACACGGACGAAGTCGCGGGAACAGCTAATAGTAACAGCAATAAGTACGTAGGCAGACAAGTAATTATTAATCTAACTAAATATTCATAACAAGGCGTGTATCGAGGATATCTGTATACAATTCCCACGGTCATTTGTTAAAACAAGTAAATAGCATGATTTATAGCAGTTAAATAGTTATGTTATAATTTCTCAATCATTGAATTTCTATTTCGAGAAGTTCACATGATAGTTAAAATTGTTCTAAATCGTGTCAATGCGATCATGGAGATTAGTGTTAGGACGTAATAGTAGACGCCATCTATGGCTGATTATTAAACGATAATAATAAATTATTTTATTAATTAATTAAATAGTTGATACTATTTCATTCATTAATTCACTACTAAAATAATTAATTAGTTACGTTTTTAAATATTCCACTTATTATTATGGTTTAATATCATATAATAATATTGGAAAATTTCACATAATTTTTTGACTGCTTGCTTGGATTTTTGTCTTTTATAATTTTTCTCTGCTATCTTTACTCCATATTTAATGTTATATTTGTATGAAAATTTCATAATTCTTCCCGTATTTTTACATAAATCCACAATATACAAACCGATAAAAACACGGTTTCCTCCACATTACGATTTTACGATATTATGAAAATTTTAACTGATAAAGTTTATAAGGAATGCCTATCGAATAATAGTGACATCTTGAAAAATCAGATGTCAACATTAAAATTTAATATCATTAACATTAAATTCCTTATTGAATATCATTTATACAACAATTTATAGTAAAGTTCAACGACTTTCAAATTAATGATGTCACCTTTAACTTCCATTTATTTCTAGTTTATTTTATAATTAGACTTTTTCCTTGTTATAAAATACATACTCTGTGCTTAATAATAAGTATTATTTGTGATAATAAGTATATGTATATAATGAAAATAATATTACATACTTATCATATTATATAAGTCTATACATACTTGTATAAAATGATAAGTTATGAAGGCCTCGGTGACCTAATGGTTTAGTTTAACATATCCCCTTACTTCTGATGATCGTGGATTAGATTCCATGCGCGAAACAAACATTCATTTTCAGAAGTATGATTGTTTGTATTAGTTTGATTGTTTTTATGTATATATGTATCATATTATTAAACAAACTCTGCCTAACTTGGGAATAGATGCGTTGTGTGAAATATCCTGGGTTATGATAAATTAAACATTTCGTGCAAGAAGTATAAATATACATTTCCTTTTAGTCACACGAACTGGTACATCTCTACAACTAGTTTTAACAAAACCAGCTTCACCATCATTATAGATACAGGTATGTTTTCACTCAATTCATCAAAACTAACAACTTGTTTGAATCACATAAAATTTTGTGAATTAGATAATATACATATATTTTTGTCTGTTTTGTGAGAATAGTTGTTGATAATTTTCTGTTTAATATTACGATCTTTTCTAATATATACGAATGAATAAATATAAATAACTATATAGTTAGGTTCCAGACATCCATCCACACACATATTAGAGAATTTCGTTAATATTAAATAATGATCTAATAGACCTATGGCCAACACTGGGACGTTAATATGTTACGATAATGATAACAATTAGGTAAAGGGAAATAAAATAAAATGTATGTCTACATTTCCCACAGGTACGTAAACAACTTCTGTGCGAAACATATCTCAGTATTTTCTTCTAGTAAATTAATATAATTACATATCGTTTTGCATGTCAAATATGTTATGCAAGCGATTTTATATTTTGATCTTTATGACAGTATCACGACGACCAATTTAATTTCTATACCGATAGTCGTGAGAATTATTATCGAACAATAAACAAAGCATGAAAAGTCCATGCTACTTACTGCAAATACTACAATGGCGGGTTAAAGACCGTACACACATTTGTGTTAGCTTGTTAAGTAATACTGCTATGAGATTTAAGTGACATAAATGAATTATTAACAGGCGCAAAGAATTAAATCAAAAGAAAGAGATAAGTCACCTGTCATGACAAGTATATCTATATAAATAATCGTAATTAATAAGTACTCACGAAATGTGAGTATATTAAATATTACAGTAATTAATCAAATTATCTATATAGTCAGACATATATACACTTAAATCAAAAATATTACTATGCTATTGCGAATAAATAAGAATAACATTGAAATAAGTTTTGATTACAAAATATAATTTTCTTAAGTAAGTGTCGGCAGGAGGCGACAGTCCTGTCTGAGGAATTTGCGGGAATGGCTGTAGAACAACCTCGCTCTATAGAGCAGCAGAATCAAATATTATAATAGCCATGATACTATACAAACTCTGAAAAAACATTTTTTGTTTATAATGTTTGACATCGCAGTCTAACGTTTGCCGTAAGCGAATCGTTATCAAATCAAAATTTTATATCGTACATTTCTATTAGAAATATATATTTACTTTTTAGGCAATGTCAAAGATTTATTTCACATATACTATACAGTTTACTTACATTACCGTATTTTCATTAATTCCTTTAACATTTAAGCTTGAAACAACGGTATTCAATAATACTATTCGAAATATTATCAATTTAAATTTGATTCGATCGGAATCAATTTTAGAAAAAAGAAAACATTAGGATATTGAATTACACTTTCATACTGGGCCATTGTGGACTAGTAAATTAAGTAAATTAGTATGTTATGACCTTGCTTGTACATGTTCTTATTGTAAACTATATAGGTACTAATAGCTACCTTTTAGTACAAAAGTCAAGGGTGATTCAAGTTGTTCGCTTTAGGTGTGGTTAACCTGTAGAATGTCAAAATATAACAAAAACGTGACAAGATAATAATAAACACCATTCCTGGTATCAAAAACCGGATCTGAATATCTACATCGATATTAAAACATATTCACAAATAAACTTAATAAATTAACAAAAAATTAGACATGTCTTATCCATGAATAACTCAAATTCCATATGTTTTCTATTTTTTGCTGAAATGATTAATATTTGAACATTTTTAATAAGTGAATAGGTATCTAGTATTACATCAAAACAATCTTTTACGTTCAAGATATGCAATTTATTAAATATACATATTAAATTTGTATATTATAGTTGTCAATATTTAAATTAAAAAGTATTTTTAAAGAATACTATCGGAAAAAGTTTTCAATTCATCAATTAAGTGATTAGATTATTAAGACTTAGAAGAATTTACGAATACATATATTGGTGTTATATGTACCTATCAACCGATTGATTTTAAAAAAGCAACTTTCGGTACTACATCTAAAGCTAGTGATTTTAACCAAAGAGCTTAAAAAGATAATCATAGAACAGAACGTGACAAACAAACTAAATAACAACTTGTAAGAGAATTATATGTACATGTATGCGTTGGAATTTTGAAATTATTTTCTGAATAAAATAGAAATAGTTTTCTGGATTATATATAGGATACTTTTTATCCTCATATGTATATGGGATTCAGCTAGTTTTATTTTATTACAAATATAATAGTATAAAATTCTGATGTCATGAAAACACCTTTGCTAATGTCATGGAGGTTAAAACCAGTTCGGTTAGATATCCATAATACAATAAAATTAAAGTAAAAGAAAAATATAAAGGATGGTTTTTATTACCGGGCTATAAAGAACGGAAAAATAAAAGTATTCGCAAAGTATCATTAATTATCTTAGGATATTACTGTCGAATCCTCTTAATATTAAAAAAAAATCTATACGCATATTTGTTTGAAAATAGTTATTGAAATGGGAGTAATAAATTAATATGTATAAATAGTGCATGCATTGTGTGAAGTATGGAAGGCAATTGAGCTAACGGAAATCTGATGGAAGTGGCATTGAATTCCTAGATCAAGGTTCTGGAGTGCACCAAAGCACCTCGGCATGACTATAGATTTTCTTAATAAATGAAGAGGTACAAAATTATTGTACTTACATAATCAGCAAGACTCTTCATGCCATACGGGAATCTTTCTCTGTCAGGCACGAGGCGGCCGCGGGGGTCTCGCTCGCGTTCCGGCCAGCAATCATCTACGTTGATATATTCGTAGCCAACTGCTGCATACCCTTCCGATACCAGGATATCCGTCATCGTACGGAATAGTCGGTCACTGCAAAATTTAACAAACTTATAACTATCCAATACTAGAACTAGACGATATCAATAATAACAATAATAAACTCATTATTGTGCACATAGAAGAAATACAATAAGAAAAACAGTAAGTAGAAAATTTATAATAAACCAAAACACATCCTACAGACCTAGCTACTTCTCCACTGAAATAGGTAATAGCAGAAAATCTAAGTCGTTATAAGACCTGCTACCTCAAAAATTTGTACAAGGGAGAATCTAAAAAAAAGTTGCATCCTTTGACTCCCAGTGACCGGCTTGATACTGTCGAGTGTTTATTCGGTATATTCTTTTTACATTTTAGTACAGTTCTGAGTCACAAATAAAAAAACTGTTATTCACTAAAAGCAATAGATGACACGATTTGGTACTTGATCGGTCAAATACCGACTAGTTAGCACGTGAAGAAGTAAGTTAATAAATCCGAAAGTAACTAATAAATATGAAAGTAAGTTTGTTTCCTTGTTATGCTGACAACTTATTCAACCGTTATGAAATTTGACGTATAGATACCAAATATAGCATTTTGTATAACGACAATAAACAACCTAGCCTACTTTTTATACCGATCAGTTATGGTGACAAATATGACGTCGCGAGATGAAGTAAAATACAAATTAACAAAAATTTAACCAATTTATTAAGTAGTAAATTATACATGTCGTATATGCGTTGTTTTTCACTTATAAAAAAATATAATATCGTATAATTATACCGCCATGTGACATTAAGCTTACCTTCTACACACGTAATTATATAAAAAAAATTGCTTTTGTGAAATAACTGTATGGATAATTGCAAATAATTTAAAATAAATTTTTTGTTAATATTTTCCTATATTCACAAAGATTGGATTGATTGAGTACCTATTATCTATTTATTTTTTTCAGAGGTGCGAGTTATCATTCGTGGCATCTACCCTATCTAATTCTGATGACGAGAACGTTACGCCTAAGCAAAAGCTAAAATTTTTCTTTGTTGAAAGATTCGGTAAGAAAGTTGCAACTGGTAACAGCAACATGTATGAAAGAACTACTCAAGAGTGTTATGCGCTCTTTAATATTATGTGTACTCACCTAATACAATTGTCCGGATCATTTTTGCAGTCTGTATTACACCTAAACCGTTCCCACGCCAGCCACCCCATCGGTGGAGTCAGCGCCAATCCATTGTCCAAGCCGGATATCTTCCCTAATATGCACAAACCGATACACACTGTCCACAACCCTATACATGATTTCCGAGACGCCATACCTTCACTTAAAAGACCCGGGAAATTAAAAAAATACTATCTTTCTAAAGATACTATCCTCATAGTTTATTCCATTCACTGTTTGATTTTGGTTCACAAAATCACGTACCTATATTGCACTATAAATACCGGTGGTGAACAAAATGTCAGCTACGGTTTGACATTACAGTTTATAACAAAAGAGGCCACTGAGAAATGAGAATATAATTCTATACGTGGACGTTCACAGCATCTGACGAGTTATCTGTAACAAAACATAGTTATGTTATTGATAATGAATGGTTTGTACATTATATAGTAGATATGGTCGATAACTCGTTAAAGTAGGTGCATTAAATTTCATTACATTACGATAAAAAATACCTACATACAATATTGGGAATGGATCAATGAATATACTGATGTCCTGTTGTAATAATTGTAATAATTGTGCTGAACGACATAAATAAATAGGTAACAAATTAATACGTCGGATGACAATGTCATAATTTAAGGCATCAATAATTTCAGATATTTTCATAACACAATAAAATGTATTCCTATTAGCATTATATTGATGTATAAAGTAGAAAGGTATTCTAAACATTTAAAATACAAAACGAATCTACTAGGCGAAGCTACATTATTATAGTTTATTCAAAATAATATATGGATATTACTTAATTCAATGTTTTTAATTAATCTAATTAAATGTCCAAACCTTCTATGTTTACTATCTACTAAAATATTTTAAGGATAATAAGCATGAATTTTACTAAGGTATCAATTATTTATTTATTAGTAAGTGAACTATATCAACCTCTTTATATTCACAACAGTCACTGATGTGAATATAAAGGCACAGGCAACAGGCACTGAAAAAGAAACAGTCGGAAATGTTATTCTATGGATTGCTAATTTTATCTTGAAAATTGTAATTATTTTTATTTTATTATTATGCATAAAATCTTTAATTGACGTCTCCTATCATCAACACATCACCTAAGCCACATGTTGAATATTTAGGTATAATTATTTTAGACCTATAAATAAAATTCCTTTTTATGAGTATGTTTATTACAAACCTATTAATTTCTGTGAAGGATAATATGAGCTCGTTAAATTAATAATGAAACAAATATTGTACTTATAGTAATTTTTTCTTAATATAAATAAGTTTTTTTTTTTCAATTATTAATTAAAAACAATTTATTTCATGTATAAACTTTAACAAACTATAAAGCAATTCGTTGAAATGAGTTGTCTGTTCTGTCTATAAAGGCTTTAAACTTGATTGACTAAAGTATATTATTAAAATTCTTTTAAAAAGTAAACTACAGAAAATAAGCTTTGATATGTTACTTAGATTACCTCTTAAAAATAGGCAAAACCCATTTTAGGTAACACATATTGGAACCACAAAGTGAACGTGAATATATGCCCGTGGCACACTTGAAGCTGTAATTTAGTGATATCTCGTCACATCTAGGGGTCAGCTTGATAGAGACCATCATTACCGACATCGCACGGCTCATAATAACACAACATAATACAACACACATAACGTTAGATATATGCACTTAAGCAAATTGTTTGTCTCAGAAAACATTGACAGAATCACAATGACAAGATAATAATATCGCTCCTATAACACTTTATGTAAATACTAAAATATATGTCAAGTTCGTATAATGTATTGATTTGTGAAGGACGAAAAACTAGGAAATACCACTAGTAGCATAGAAACAAAATAAGCATTCTATACATATGGGCTATACACAAATACACGCAATTTCAAAATATATGACTCTCCCTCAACCATATCACAGCTACACATGTAACTGTAAATCTCACATTCCTTAGTATGACCCGACATATTAGACAATCAAAGAAAATAAAAACTAAAATTATATAATTATATGCTATGGGAAATGGGATATATTTTTAAATTTTAGAAATTATATGTTTGGCAAAACGTGACTCTTCCCTCCCACTATACCTTCTCTCACATGTTAAATGTCACATTCGTAGTTCTCCTATTATTTTCCACTTCTTAAGGTCAGTAAGATGACATCTAAATGTTTAAAAACAATAAAAAATATAGTTAAAACTTAATTCCGAATTATAAACAATTTTTTAAAAGTCGGTTAAAAAGCTATAAATAACAACATTCCGCAGAAATCAGCATATATCGAGATTGACTAAATATCATTACGCCACGACAAATAGGAGCGGAGCACAAATATATAACTACAAATAACATAATATGGTATAACGGAAACGAAATTGCGCGGGTGAGTTAGTAGCAGTAATATAAGATAATAAGATGAAATTTATTCTGTATCTAAATATGTTTATGTAAATTAGGTTCGATGCTTTACACTATATCTGACATTTAAAAATAAGCGTAGTCATTACAACAGATTGCCTGATGCAATTTTTTTTCTCATGCACTATGTCGCTTCCTATCGTAATAGTGTAACATTATATGTGAAGGCATTGCTAAATTACAGGCTACATATATCTAACTACGGAGATGTCTATGAAGACATATGAAGACAGTATATGAATACTTTGTATATTTTATTTACATTGTTATTTTTTAGGATTTTTAGCTAAAATAAAAAATTAGGCATTAGTAATGTTAAAACAAAACTACTCCTAATTCAATGTTCCTTTTGTACATGCGAAGTCTTAGCCCTATATAACTTATATGTAGCTGTCAATTTACATTACCCTTAAACTATAGAAATTTCCTTAGAAAATAAAACCGGTTATTACTAATTTCCTTGGATAGAGAAGTTATAAAAAACGTCATAACGTTAATTATGCGATATCACGCTACATTTATGTAATTATATGTTGAATTATTAGATCAGATCTATTGTATTTAAATATGATTGTCAATGATGCAAAACAAAGGTTTTGATGTAAACACAAAGCTACAAATCTATACTGAGGTATAGTTTAAAGTCGTCTGCGTGGGTACCTCTGTGTACTTAATTCACATGTTAAATTCTATAAACTAGTGAAAACAGTGAAATTACAGAATAGACATGACATCTTAGTCCATCGAATGGGCAACGCAAGATCACTGGCGTCGCATGATAACGTGATGTTTGTAGTGCTGTTCATATATAGGCGAAAATTACCACTTACTATTATATGAGCCGTAAATTATTAACCAGTTCAATTACAGAAAAAAAAAATTGTGGGCAGAAACCCTAATATGATAGAATGATAGAAACAGCATGATATTCATAGCTACTCGTACATAAAACAATGATTCTATTGAAACAATAAGGCCATTTTTATTTATACAGAAAGTATTGCTTAGTTTTATATTATGCCTGCTCATTTTTTCAGATATTACACTGTATATTTTACTTGTACTTTTATTGTAGTTTTACGGTAGGTAAAAATATTAATACATAAAACTTGTCTACTAATGTCCTAATGTCCTACATAAATAAATTATATTTGATTTAATTAAAATGTAAAGTACATTTACACATTTTTTTTGTTATACATTGTAATTAGGTATATCAACCTTAGTTCAATTAAAACAGGCAGGTACCAATTACGACATAACAATTAAACGATCTGAAGCAATTAAAGAAGATCTAATCAGACAATTGCTACTTGTAAACTGTCTAACTACTAGTACGTCAATTAATAAGTTTTTTTTTATGTCAACAAAAATTTGATGATCTTTTTTCGAGGAAATACATTGAAATATCTACTTTATTCTATTTCATACGTTTGCTTGTGAGCTGTGTTTCGGTTAAAGGGTGAGATAAGGTAGTGAAATTACAGTGTTCATCGGAATGACATCATACAGGTCAACACATGAGTTGTATTACGCGTGTCTTATGATAAAAATAAATCCGTGACGCAGGTTGTACCATAGGTATCATAGGTATCTAGATACCTATGGTACCTACCTAAATACCTATTGTATTTTATTATTGGATAGGGATAGCAAATTGTCTCTAATGATGATAATGGAAGAATGTATGTATTTATTAGTAATTTAATATACGACCTGCGTCACGGATTTATTTTTATCATAAGACATCAACTTACTAGTTTCATACATCCTTTTTCTGGTAACACATCAGGATATAGTAAATCTACCTATCAGATCCTAAATAACAGTTCAGGAGTTCCCTGTAACCTGCATCCTTCTGATTTGATAATGTACATCTATATCTTGATAATTATCTCTTTTTTAACAATGTTACCTCAATTCATAAAGATAGTATCGTATTCTCTTAATTACAACTCCAACATACGTCTATGTAATTATATTTTATTGTGACATCTTATTACAAGCATTTAACATAATTACCACATTTTCATTGTGTTGGGTGGTCGCTATTGTCTTTTGTAAAATTAAAATGTCACTATGCATGTAGTGACAATGGTGGAAAATAATAGATATAGTTTTAATATATTTCGAGTTAATTAATATTCTCTAACACCAAGATAGATATTACCTTAACCATCAGTCTTTTATAAACCCGTTCCTCTTCAGTTTACCACTTTACCATTGTTCATCGGCATTGCAATACATTAATACCTAGCTGACTGATTATAATTGGAAACAAGAATAGAATAGAAAAAATGTGTGTTAATCTGTAATAGATTACGACTTAGCGATATTTTTGTACGAATATATGAAATTTCATTATAATCAACCAAATTTAAAAAAATCTAAATATTATTCACATTTCCAACATTCTGATTTTAAGTGTAGTTCATTGTTTTAATGCAGTATTGTTATTTTCAAAGAGAAGTTGACCTTATTTCGTGAATTTTGCCAGATCCTTTTAATGCGGAACACAACAGATATTGCAAGTAACGTTGGAGCCAGTGCCTGTATAATTGCACTGCACAACACGAAATGGTACAATTCACTTGCAGTGTTGTTACAACAACCATAATTGTTTACTTTGCATAAATTTTAACTTCCGACAAGTTCCAACATGCCAACCTGATTATTGTTATATTTTCAATGATCTGTAATGTTTAAAATAATATTGTTTAATGTCAATAGTCCATGTTAATGCATTAAATATGAAAATGAGATTGTTTATTTTAACACGGTCAAATCTAGTGATTATGAACAGTCAAAAATAATAATACTAAAATTTATTGCTTCGAAAGGAATCAAATACGTGTATCTAAATATATTGTGTTATACAAACAAAACTCCAACGAAGAATAACCATAATTATTTTAACTAGTTAAGTTTTTTATTTG